CCAAGTCGGTTTAGAGATAGTGTAAGGGTTAGAGCTAGGGTTTTTTGGTTGTCCACCGGACAATGTCTCAGACTGGTTAGGTTGTCCGGCGCAAATTCTGGTTGTCTCGGACAACCGGACAACGCTTATTTCGAGCACTGTATGTGTATAACAGCTGGCTCGCTGCTGGCTACACACACACACAAACACACACAGGAGAGCGATTACATAACTTGCGACTTGGTCTGTATTATGCTGGAGCGGGTCACATATGTCCAAGTGAACAATGTGAGCAATCAGTGCAAATTTTGTACAGTGCAACTGAAATGAGGAACCTCATACCTTGCCGCTGCAGAATGCGGAAATTAAGCCTAGAAATCGTAATGATTCCGCAGAATAAGGAATGGTTGGAGACCCTGCATTAGATATAATTACAAAGCAAAAGTTCATCATCTCATAACCAAAAACTCCAAACATATCTGTGGAATTTTTTTTTTAGGAATTTGAATAAAAATTTTGCCCTTTTTAAGGAATTTCATACATTTTTAAAGTTTTTTTAGGGATTTTAGGACACGCTCAAAATTTTAGGGATCGTTAGGAATTAAATTTAGTACCGCTGGAAGGCCTGCTTGGGGTAAAAATCGCAGGGTAAAAATCGCAGGATAATGAGACTGCACATGTTCCGAATTCACCCGCCGGGTGGGACCAGAAAAAACTGTAGGGGAAAACCGTAACGTGTGCGCTAGGCTTTATGGTGTAAACCAATCTGGTTACATTGTAGCAATTCACAGGGTACATGAACCAGCTGTCAGAGTTACACACCTTCACGGTAAACATCAGGTTTAGCGTCGTGAATTAACTTGCAAAATGCCGCCGCCAGATGGCGCTACGCAGTCTATCGGCGTTCGCGCTAGTGACGAATGAGGAAGGGGAGAAGGGAGAAGCTGGTGGAGAAGGAAGAGGGGAGAAGCTGGTGGAGGAGGGGGAGAAGGAGGGAGAGAAGGGAGCTGGTGGAGGAGGAGGGAGAGAAGGGAGAGGCTGGTGGAGAAGGAGGAGAAGAAGCTGGTGGAGAATGAGGAAGGGGAGAAGGGAAAAGCTGGTGGAGGAGGAAGGGGAGAAGGTGGTGGAGGAGGGGGAGAAGCTGGTGGAGAAAGAGGGAGAGAAGCTGGTGGAGAAGGACGGGGAGAAGGAGGGGGAGAATGGAGCTGGTGGAGGAGAAAGGGGAGAAAGGAGAAGCTGGTAGAGAAGCAGGGGGAGAATGAGGAAGGGGAGAAAGGAGAAGCTGGTGGAGAATGAGGAAGGAGAGAAGGGAGAAGCTGGTGGAGAAGGGAGAAGCTGGTGGAGGAGGAAGGGGAGAAGGGAGAAGGTGGTGGAGAAGGGAGAAGCTGGTGGAGAAGGGAGAAGCTGGTGGAGGAGGAAGGGGAGAAGGGAGAAGGTGGTGGAGAAGGAGGAAGGGGAGAAGGAGAGGGAGAATGGAGCTGGTGGAGGAGGATGGAGAGAAGGGAGAAGCTGGTGGAGAAGGGAGAAGCTGGTGGAGGAGGAAGGGGAGAAGGGAGAAGGTGGTGGAGAAGGAGGAAGGGGAGAAGAAGGGGGAGAAGGGAGCTGGTGGAGGAGGAGTGGGAGAAGGGAGAGGGGGAGAAGCTGGTGGAGAAGGAGGAAGGGGAAAAGCTGGTGGAGAAGGAGGAGGGGGAGAAGCTAGTGGAGAAAGAGGAAGGGGAGAAGGGAGAAGGTGGTGGAGAAAGAGGAGGGGAGAAGCTGGTGGAGAAGGGGGAGGGGGAGAAGTTGGTGGAGAATGAGGAAGGGGGAGAAGGGAGAAGCTGGTGGAGGAGGA